CGGAACTTGGCGGAATTGCGGAACGCGTCTCTCTCTCTCTCTCTCTCTCTCTCTCTCTCTCTCGTAGACGTATTGATATTCCTCACGCCGTGTACGTCGAGTCGAGAAAATTGCACGAAGGGTGAGCCCTTCAAAGCCGCGCGTTCCCACGAACAAATTACCGAGCGACAAGCGGGGACACGACTAGGCGGGTGCGGCGGGCGCAACGTGCATTTTGAGGAGCCGCGTACGAGAAGTAGTCGTAAAACTAGTTTGCGCCGAAGAAACGTTCGAATTCGCAATGTGCAATCCCTCAGCGAAACACGGCGCGCGATTCAATAAACCCGATGAAGAATACTCCGTCACACGCTTGCCAAAGGTCTAGTCATCTATGCGGAGCTAGCTTAGCAACGAATGGATTTAGCGACACATTTGTCGGGGGGGGGGGGTGGTGTCTTTCATCGCGCATTCTTATTTCGATCACACACCAAGACACCTACGAAGACGCTTGCTTCGAGCAAATTCGCTTTATCGACACACCTCTAGGAAATATGCCTACCGTCCCCGCGTATATACGCATATACCTCCCGAAAAAATTCGATTTGAAAACAGGCGCCGCTTCCAGGCGCCAAAACAGATGCACCCTCCTTCCTGCCGCTCGCTTTTTTTCGAAAAGAAAACGAGGTGAACGCGAAGAACGTGGAGGAACGTGCGAGTTAACGTATACGCGCGCGCAAATTTGCAGGCGCGCTCGCGATATATATATATATATATATATATATATATATAAAATATACACTTAATCTGTATTCGAGGCGCGAGCGCGCCTCGCCGCGCCCGGCCGACTCTGCCTAGCCGGCGGAATACAAAATTTCCGTATTCAGATGCCCTGCGACAGAAATTGACTTTATTGAGGTTTATTGATCCGCAATATTGTGTTCCGCCGCGCGGAGCGCCCGCGGTGCCGGTTCTTCGCTCGCGTTCGAACGTGCACGGGTTCGCGCCCTCGCGTGTGCACGCACGGGGGTTACTCCCCTCCTTCCCCCCCCCCTCCCCACCTGCCCCCTCGCCCTCGTGTGTGCAGTGTGTTCCCGGAGGTGCAGGGATTCGATTTAAACGGAGTACGGAGTACCTCTACTCGGTCAACGTCGAACACAGAAGCTACCGATATATTAGTCAATATTTGCTCTAAGAGCATCGATACTTTCAAATCAATCGAGAAAGAAAGAGTTTACGAAAATAAATTAACATTAAGACGCGAACAAATTGCCCTCTCATATAAATATTACTTCGCGATTTGTATTTAAAAAATATGTGTTTCTTTCACGACCGTAAAAATATTTGATCCAATTAGTATTAAATAAATGCGCATGTAAATGAAAAAAATCAGTCTTTGCGATTTATAATTCGACATGCGAATTGCATGTCTTCGGGACAAACATCTTCATGCATGTCGGTTAAAATATGTCCTGATAAACAAACGCGACAATCATCATCATGATAGCGTATCGATCGAGGCCGATTTACCTTCCTCGAATAGATTATGTGTCGCGACGTTGTCGCTTCAGTATGTGTGTGCTGAGTACTTTAATACGAAGAACGTTTTTTCATCATGACAAAGTCGCTATCGATTTGACACATAATGGAACGGCAACTGCGTTAAATCATATTAAATTTTTATGCAAATTACAAAGTAAAATAAATGATTATATTTTACTTGCCTCTACTGAAATTTGTAATAACGTTATTACGTTGTCATGAGACGTTGTCACTCGTTCTGCATAAAAAATTTTGTTTCTATTCTCTTTTCCTTTATATATTTTTCTTTTTCACAATATAAACATATAAATTCATTCAAATTTCTCAAATCGATAAAGCGTCATTTATTTTCTCAAGTGCACTTTGAAAATCATAAAATAATCGTAAAATACGCAACTACAAGTAAAAGTGTCGCGACGCGACGCGATGCCAATTCTGAGCACACTCCCCGAGCGAATTACGCAATCTGCATCTCGTTGGACGACGTGACATAACGCAATCGCAAACAGTATTATTTTTACGATTTTCGTGTCGCCATCATTTGTCACGTTACGATATTTTCTCACTCCCGACGACGCCCTGATTAACCCTCGGGACGAAATAATTCTAATTACGCACTTTGTCACGGCGGGGGCGATTGTCGGTTCGCCATTCGTTGGGATTAATTGGGCCACCCGGTATACATCGCTAGCGCCGAGTCCGAAACAAAGAAGACGCTCGAGTACGGAACTTGGGCGATTTCGAGAAGCCTCGGGTTCGGTGGGTGAACAGGTTTTAGTTCTCACAAAAGAGAACCTACCGAGGAGCCACCATCTATGCCCATAATATCGCAATGGTCAAACACGCTGGCATTATAACGACGCATAGTTATAAGTTATAAACTGCGCCGAATTACCGCAGCTTTCGAGATAAGCATCGCGAATCGCATCGCAATCTTCCACGTTGTCGCTTTCTTTTTTTTTTTTTCTTTTACGAACCTCTGCACCTCCGATTATCGCGGGCAATTTCGGCGACGATAATTTTAATGTCGATTTAATACCACTGGATGGAATTAAGCGCGACAGTACTTTTGCCGGCTCGCTGGGATTCGGACTAAATTTTCGCACAAAGCAAATTTCACTTGACATTATGAATACCGAATTACCGGTGCGGCGACAAACGAACATAATGTTGAGTAAATTGCGAGCGGCGAGTGTAAATATTCTCGCCGGACCGCTGCCAAACTCGATACGTGTCTTTAAACTACGTCGCGAATTTTTACTCTTTATTCGTGTATAATAATTTAGCTCTTCGAATCAAAAAAAGCTTCTTCAAACATTGCTGCTATTACACGATGTTAAATTAATTTGTTATTCGAAAAAATAGGATTGCCAAACAGCTGATTGTAGACATTGTTTGACCTTAGTTGACAAATAATCGATCGATTCCTCTTTATCGCTCGACCAAGCGGGTTATGGAATAAAGTTGAGGGGTTCGACGAACGGGTGGAGGGGGAAGGAACATTTTCACTAACGCGATTATATCCGGCGTTTCGCTTTCCAACGCGAACGGCGAGCCGTAGCCGTGCGACATAATTTATTTCCGCGGCGGGGAAATGTATAGTCACTTTTTGGCGTGGCGCGGCGCGGCG